AGAGGCTTTCCATCTCTGCTCAGAGTTCCATTCTCTCCTATCTTCCATTAACGAGGTTTGGATCTTGTATCAACACAAACTGTTCTTCTGATCTGCTTTCATCTATCTGTGGAATCCTTTCAGCATCAGCAAGAGATTCTTGAAGGTTAGCATTTCTTCACAAAATCATCTTCATCTTATTCTCAACATTCCCAGTGAAAGTTCCATTCTTTACATGGTAAACCAATAACCCATCCAGAATTGAAGGTCCATTTGCCTGTTATACCACCCCCACCCCCTGCAATTCCATTTCAGTTGATACAGATTTCTGGGTTTAATTAACAAGTCTTTAGATATATATATATCTGCTTAATCAACTGTTAATCTGGGCATCCATTCAAGAATGGTGGCTGATACCCAGAATCAATAGACTATGGAACCTAATACAAGTGTTTATCTTTAATTTGCAGGTTTTATTGATTAGTGATGGAGAAAAGTAAAGAGATTCATTCAGAAAACAACTCTCCTGTGGAACTTCCAGTGCTCATCAATTATATTAGTACAAATGGAGTTGATGGTTTTGATAGTCACAAGGAAGATGTTCAGCACCCTTTAAACCATTTAACACATGTAACTTAATCCTTAAAATTTCTATTCAACTTCTAGATTTTTTTGATTCGAACAGCTATGAACAATCTATAATGATTTTTTAAAAAAATATATCCGTACACATCCTCTAATAATGACTGAGAGTTTCTGATCACTAAAAAAAATTATTTCATTTCATATATATATATATATATATTGAGAACTTTCATTTTGATAATGAGGTTGTCATATATATACATATATATAAAGCATCGACCCTGGAAGAATCTAAGTTCGCCTCGGGGCTCGGGGTTTGGAACCCCACCTTCTATAAAAAAAAATGGAAAATTGGCTAAGGAGATTCCGTGCGGTCCGAAATTAAAACAGACACAAAGGCTCCTCGTTGTTCGGATCTTGACTGGATCCGAGCTTCCCAAGCTCTATGCTGTCGGTTTCATTCAACAACATCTGTTCGGATCAGACCAGGATGAATAGGATTGGTCCGACCTCCCGCTCCGATGTCCTTCCGACCGGCGGGAATATACAATGCAAATTTCCGGGCCCTCAGGCCCGATCGTGAGACCGCCGGTTGATCGTCCGAGGGCCCGAGCTATGTGTTGTCCCCTCGGATTGGGATAGAACTAAACTAGAATAAGGGGTCTCCGCTCTTAATAAATCATGATGTTCATCAAATTTTTGGTATTTATATATATATATATATATATATATATATATATATATATATATATATATATATATATATATATATATATATATATATGTATATCACCTTTGTAATTTCATATTTTCATGGATCCTGTATAAATGTATAATCATTTGGTTGATGGTGTTTTACTAGGTTGGTGGAAAAGCTGTTTCCGAAAGTCCAAAAACTGTTTACTTAAATGCAGAGAGTAAACCTGAGATTCAGCTTCCTGGTTTTGCTGCAATACCAGAAAGTGCAGAGAAACAGCAGGATGGGCATGGTAGATTCTACTCTCAGCCAATTCCAAAAGGCTCCACTGCATTTTCTGCAGCGGCCTCGAATGTCAATTCCGTTTCGAGCACTCCCAAGAGCGGTAAACTGAAGGATAAAAGGTTTGATACTTTCAAAACATGGTCTGGGAAACTGGAGAGACAATTGACGAACTTAGGTGGGAGGCAACGCGAACCAATTCAAGAATCGGATGCTCAAACGAGCCCCGAAACGACAGAAACTATAACAGTGGACAGATACTATGATGCATTGCAGGGGCCAGAATTGGACACCTTAAGGGTAAATCTTGTTTTGAGTTGTTTGTACTAATATCTCTTATGTTGTTTTGCTTATAAGGTTGGAACTTGGAACTGTTTCGTTTGCAGGCTTCTGAGAAAAGTGCTCTCCCAGAAGATCAGAAGTGGCCGTTTCTTCTTCGTTTTCCAATCTCCTCGTTTGGTATCTGCCTTGGAGTTAGCAGCCAAGCGATTATGTGGAAAGCCCTTGCCACGGCTACTTCCACTCGGTTTCTTCACATAACCCCGGATGTAAATCTCGTGTTATGGTGCATATCTGTTGCTCTTGTGGCCATTGTTGCCTTGATATATGGTCTGAAAATCGTTTTCTACTTTGAAGCTGTTCGTCGTGAGTACTATCACCCGGTTCGTGTGAACTTCTTCTTTGCACCGTGGATAGCCCTGCTATTCATAGCTATGGGAGTTCCACCATCGATCACTGAAAACCTGCATAAGTCTCTATGGTACATCCTTATGACTCCGATTTTGTGCTTGGAGCTTAAGATCTACGGGCAGTGGATGTCTGGGGGGCAGCGGAGGCTGTCAAAGGTTGCCAATCCCTCGAACCATCTCTCGGTTGTGGGGAACTTTGTGGGGGCTTTGCTTGGTGCAACAATGGGGCTAAAAGAAGGTCCTATTTTCTTCTTTGCTGTTGGGTTGGCTCATTATTCTGTCCTGTTTGTGACTCTCTACCAGAGGCTTCCAACGAACGAGACGCTCCCCAAGGAACTTCACCCGGTTTTCTTCCTGTTTGTCGCCGCACCTAGTGTGGCTTCCATGGCTTGGGCTAAGATTCAAGGGAGCTTTGATTTTGGATCAAAGATTGCTTACTTCATTGCCTTGTTCCTTTATGTCTCACTGGTTAGTGTTTCTTAACCAAAGCTCTTTAACACGGTCCAACCTTATTAGGATCAAGCCGAAAAGCTATAGTTAGTAGCGAAGGTGCAACTTTATTTCTTTATATCTGCATAGTAGCCAATGTAGGTAAGGCAGGGTGCTGGACTTGGCCCTTTAGGCCTCCACCCAACAATTCTCTGACCACCGCCCATCGGTTGCTGGATTTGGTCCTTCGGGCCTCTGCCAAACAAACCTTACAGTTGTATTAGCAGTCTGCTTACCAACTAATCCAAACTGCGGGTTAACATTCATCAAGTTTGCACACCGCCCATCGGGTGCTGGACTTGGTCCTTCGGGCCTCTGCCCAACAAACCTTACAGTTGTATTAGCAGTCTGCTTACCAACTGATCCAAACTGCGGGTTAACATTGAACAAGTTTGCACATTTGCAGACATCTCATCCGGGTTGATATTGATTGGTTATTTCTCTTGCTTGTTGTATAGGCGGTTCGTATAAACTTCTTTCGCGGCTTCAAGTTCTCGTTGGCATGGTGGGCTTACACTTTCCCCATGACTGGAGCTGCCATAGCCACCATCAGATACTCATCTGCAATAACAACCACAGTATCAAAGTGTTTTGCTGTCATATTCTGTGCCATATCCACACTCACAGTCACAGCACTGCTTGTGACAACCATCATTCACGCCTTTGTTCTCCGAGACCTCTTCCCCAATGACAGCGCCATTGCAATCAGTGAACGGAGGCCTAAAACCCAGCACAGATGGTTACACAGAAGGGGTGGCAGCTCAGATCACAAAGACATCATCGATCAGTACCTTAAAGTTGTCGATTCGGCTGTTGTCAAAGATATTGAGGCTGCTCTTTCCCCTCCAAATGTTGTCCCTCAATGAAGTTTAGTTGAGTCCCAGAGTGAGCTGAGGTTCATTGCCTTTTGTCCTTGAGTGTTGTACATAACCAAGTGAGGAACTTTATGCATTCCGGTGATCTTGATGTGAAATAGAAATCGAGGGTTCTGGTTGTTTTCAGCTACAAAGAATGTAATAGATGAGCATATATAAGAAATAAAAGTGGAGAGTTTCCTTTTTACCTTGTTTGAGAAACTGTTTCAATGCCATCATGGTAAGATAACCTTGAGGTATAATCTTATTAGGACATTATTTTGGTCAAGAATATAACTAGGTTGCCAATAAGCTCTAGCCTACTGGCTATAGCTAGGCACCTCACTTTCAACTCTAAAATCAAGAATTCAATTGCTCTGCCGCACGGGTTTAGCTCAATGGTTCAGTAGGCAGTATTTAGAAGAAGAGACTAAGGTTCGAACCTTGGCGGCGGCAATGTGAAAATTATGTTCAAAGTGAGCAAATTCCTTGTGCACCGGCATTTGGCCCTGTCCACTGAACCACACTAGGTGTGTAATTCAATTGACCGTAATTTATTTCCATTATCTTGTCAAGGCAGGGTGTGAGAGTCCAGAAACAAAGAAATTTTGTCTTTTATGGACAAGAATTTAATTACTACACTAAACACTATTCTTGTACATTTTTAATCTTAATATATAAAAAATCTATTATAATTATTATATTGAAAGAAATTAGATGAGTAACATCACAATTACTTTCACTCACACTACTTGATCATGACATCATTTGTATTTCATCATATATTAGGTCATGAGGATTATCTTGTAAGGAAGCATGGCCTATTAGTGAGTGATGAGTCAAGAATTAATATGATTACCTAGTACAGTTAATCTGGTTAACCAATCTACTACGCAAGTTAACAACTTTGTTTACCAAATAGTTGCAAAGTGTAAGATTTTATGGTCTGTTTTGTTCGCACAAAAAAATTGGAAACGAAATCGAAATAAGAATCAAATACTTAATGGTAATGAATTTTGGTGAAAGTATTTTGCATGTTTGGTAGTATGGTGAAATTGAATTGATCACCAATTGATGTCTAGTTATGTATGATCCTATAATAGAAATAAAGATTTTTAAAAAAATCAAAACAATTTATCATAATACAATGACATTCAAAGCATTAATATGAACAAAAATATAAGGGATGTAGTAAAAAGGCTACAGATCAAGAGGTGACAGATGAGGAGGGATAAAATAAAATGATACCTATTTTTAATTAGGAAATGAAGTTTTATTATTTAAATTTGAACTGCACATATAACTGAATATAGTGGGTTTGGTCCTTTTGGAGTTATAGTATTAATAAAAATCAAACATAATTGGGCGAAAGAATGAAATTAATAAAACAAAATAAAATAAACACTTCAATTGACCAAAGAAAGTAGTTGTCGTGTGATGATTTCGGTTGCGATCTTGTTTTCCGGGGAATCATCGGTGGTTACATGCTTTGACGCTGTTTTTCTTTCACCAGTCATTGCCTGTCTATTCTCTGCCAGACAAATTTCAACTGCCTAAATCTTATACAGTTTGAACTCCAATTCTCTGTTACCTTCGCTGCATTTAACGTAAGATGTTGTTTACAATGTAGGTTGATGATGTTTTTTTCAAATTCAAATCTCTCATAATTTCTTTATTTCCTGTCATATCAGCGCTATAATTACTAATTCTGTGTCTCTACCAGGGATCGTGTTCCAGTTTTATGAATGGAACAACAAGCAATAGCCTCCAGGAAACCTCTCGGAAGGAATTCAACAATAGCTCAACATGAATTAGTTGAAACTCAATATAATTACCGCTACGGATGTCACCTTCACAGAAGGTATCTATTCTGCATGTTGTGTAAGACTAAGATCAGGTCGAGCCACTCGGTCAAAGCTCGGCTTGAGCTCCAACTGAATTCGAGTCGACTCGTTTCATAATTGAGTCGAACTCGACTCAAATGTTTTAGTCTCGTGACTCGTTAAACCGGTCGTGATCCATATATATATAACAAGTCGAGCCGGCTGGTTTCATAACTGAACCGAGTCCGAGTTTCAATTTTCGACCTCGAGCTCGACTCACCTCGTTTACATCACTATGTAAGACTCACTTACCACTTTCCCATTCAAAACACTTACTTAATTTTTTTTTTCTTTTTCTCTTCAATCTTGCATTGACAAGACCTGGATCTTGTACATCAATACACTGTTCTTCTGCTTTCATTTGTGGATTAGTTTCAGCATCAACAAGGGACTCTTTGGAGGTCAGCATTTCTTCACAAAATCATGTCTAATCATATTTTGAATCTTCTCATGACTCTAGCCTGCAAATGAGGTAAATTAATCTAGATTGTTTATAACTGATCGGCTCAAATCAAGAAAGTCAATAGGTAACTCCGGCAGTTGGGAATCAAACTTGTAATCTTCTAGTTACTAAGATGCCAATAAAATCGTTTTTGCTGGGAGCCGAACTTGTAACCTTACTAAGTCAATCAGTCTAACCAACTTGACTGAGTTGCCCTCAAATTCTGGATCTTCTTTTTATTATTATTTCTTCATGGCATTCAACTCCCTGTGAAAATTTGTCACCAAGAACGTGATGTTGTTCATTCATGATATATCTTTGATTTACGAGAAAGTCTGCAGCGGCTAATACGGCGTGTGTGTCATTGTAGGTCTTATTGCTTAGTGATGGAGAAACATAAACAGATTCATTCAGAAAGCAGCAACTCTACAGATGAAGTACTTCCAGTACTCATCCATTCTACAAGTAGAAATAGAGTGGATAGTTTTGATTGTGTAAAAGAAGATGACAGCTCAACCAGCTTCAATTTTCCAAACCATTCATCAAAAGTAAGTTAACCCTTTACTATCTTTTGAAGCTCTGATCTGATCTTCATTTAATAATGGCTTGGATTGGTGGGGTTTACCGTTTACTAGGTTACTGGAGCAGATAGAGGTGAAACTCCAAATATCTTGAATACAGAGAAGAAGAAGAAGAAGAAGAACATAACTGAGAATCTGGTTCCCAGTCCTGCTGTCACACCAGAAAGTGCAAGGAAAAGTCAGGCAGAAAATTGTAGATTTTTTTCTGTGCCAAGTCCAGATGATTCACCTGCACTTTCTGCACCTGTGGCAACTGCCAATCCGGTGGTTTCGGGGACTCCCAGGACTCTGAAAGCAAAGGATAAAAGGTTTAATACTTTCAAAACATGGTCTGGGAGGCTTGAAAGGCAATTCACGAGCTTAAGCAAAAGGCGACGCGAAGAAATTGAAGACTGGGATTCTCAGAGTAGCCCTGAAATGGAGATTATAGCAGTGGACCGGTACTATGATGCATTGGAGGGCCCTGAATTGGACACCTTAAGGGTATGGGTTATTTGTTGGTTGGTTGTGTGTACTAATATCTCTTATGTTGTTTGTTTGCTCAGGTTGTTGCAATTGTTGTGTTGTTTGCAGGCTTCCGAGGAAAGTGCTCTTCCAAAGGATATGAAGTGGCCATTTCTTCTTCGTTTCCCAATCTCTTCCTTTGGTGTCTGCCTGGGAGTTAGCAGCCAAGCAATTATGTGGAAGGCCCTTGCCACTGCTACTTCCACTAGGTTCCTGCACATAAACCTGGCTGTAAACCTCGTCTTATGGTCCATATCTGCTGCTCTTGTAGCCATTGTCGCGTTTATATATGCTATGAAAGTCGTTTTCTACTTTGAAGCAGTTCGTCGTGAGTACTACCATCCGGTGAGGGTAAACTTCTTCTTTGCACCATGGATAGCCCTGCTATTCTTGGCTCTTGGAGTGCCACCATCAGTCATTGAGAGCCTGCATAAGTCTCTATGGTATATTCTTATGGCCCCGATTTTTTGCTTAGAGGTTAAGCTGTATGGGCAGTGGATGTCTGGAGGACAGCGGCGGCTGTCAAAGGTTGCCAATCCCTCGAACCATCTCTCGGTTGTTGGGAACTTTGTGGGGGCATTGCTTGGTGCAACAATGGGGCTAAAAGAAGGTCCTATTTTCTTCTTTGCTGTTGGATTGGCTCATTACTCTGTCCTGTTTGTGACTCTCTACCAGAGGCTTCCAACGAACGATACGCTTCCCAAGGAACTTCACCCGGTTTTCTTCCTGTTTGTTGCCGCTCCTAGTGTGGCTTCCTTGGCTTGGGCTAAGATTCATGGGAGCTTTGATTATGTTTCAAAGATCGCTTACTTCATCGCCTTGTTCCTTTATGTCTCACTGGTTAGTATTTCTGCCACTCTTGAGTCTTGTTCGGGGTAAGGCCTGCCCAGAGCCCCATCCTCGACCCTGTAATTGCATTAGCAGTATGCTTATCAACTGCCGGTTGTCCTATAGTTACATTAACAGTCTACTTGCTAACTAACCAACAGTCTACTTGCTAACTAACCAACAGTCTGCTTACCGACTGTCCTATAGTTGCATTAACAGTCTACTTACCAACTGACCAACAGTCTTGTAGTTGCATTAGCAGTCTGCTTACCAACTACCGAATTGTCCTATAGTTGCATTAACAGTCTACTTACCAACTGACCAACAGTCTTGTAGTTGCATTAGCAGTCTGCTTACCAACTGCCAAATTGTCATATAGTTGCATTAACAGTCTACTTACCAATTGACCAACAGTCATGTAGTTGCATTAGCAGTCTGCTTAGTAACAACGGTTCAAGTTGTTGGGTTAATATTCATCAAGTATTCACATTTGTGACTCTCTCCCTTGTTCTATAGGCGGTTCGTATAAACTTCTTTCGCGGTTTCAAGTTCTCGTTGGCATGGTGGGCTTACACCTTTCCCATGACTGGAGCTGGCATGGCCACCATCAAATACTCAGCTGTAGTAACAAACACAGTGTCAAAGTGTGTTGCTGTCGTATTTTGTGGCATTTCCACACTCACAGTCACAGCACTGCTTGTGACAACCATCGTTCATGCCTTTGTTCTCAGAGACCTTTTCCCCAATGACAATGCCATTGCAATCAGTGATAGAGGCGAACCGCAACACAAAAGGCGTCACAGAAGGAATGGCAGCTCTGCTCTCAAAGACACCTACCTTAGAGTTGTAGATGATTCTGCAGATATCAAAGATATCGAGGCTGCCCATTCTCCCCCAACCCCCAACCCCGCAGGGACAAGCAATCTGCGGACTGAAGGTCATTGAGTCCCAAACTTAGCTGAGGTTTTTGCCAAAGTCTCGAGGGAGGGGCTTTAATTTATGCGTCCAGGTGATCTTGATGTAAAATAGAAACCAAAGGTTTTTGTTGTTTTTGCATACTGCATTGGTATCTGCATCTTACAAGATGGGACTAATGCAGTCGAGTCTCGATCAGGAAGGGCTCACTATTAGCAGCAGCCCTCCATGACCTGAAATTATGTGCACATATGTCTTGGAAAAAAAACACTTTGTGACTGAGCTAATGGGTTGTCTATTACTTGGCTAGCTACCATGGGAACATCATTGATCAATACCTTAAAGTTTCATATGATTCTATAGTTGTCAATGATATTGAGGCTGTTGTTTCTCCTCCAAACTCCACCACCACAGGGAGAAGTTCTTTGAGTCCCAAAATTAGATGAAGTTTTTGCCTTTAGTCCTTTGGTAGTGTACATTAAAACTACTACTTAACCAAGTGAGGAAACTTGTGTGTCCCGGTGATCTTGATGCAAAATAGAAATCGAGGGCTATTGTAATTTTTTTTTACATACTACACGGATATCGATCGGCATTTCGCAGGATAAGACTAATCTAGCTGAGTCTCGATCGAATCTCATTCGAAAAGAGTTCACATTTTACAAGATAAGACTAATCTAGCTGAGTTTTGATCGAGTCGTATTCAAGATGGGCTCACTATTAGCACTCCATGATGAAATGTGTTCATGTCATGGAAAAGAAACACATTGTGACTAAGCTAATGTGTTGTCTGTTACTTGGCTACCATGAAATGAACTCTGGTCCCCCACCCCCCACCCCCCTCCTCCACCCAACATTAAAAGAAAAAGGAGAATAGTTGCAATTAGGTTTGACATTAGCAAGAAGATACACTTGGCTGTGATTGTTGTGGGATAAAGGAAGGAAACAACAAGGAAGACAAGAAGAAGTAGGAAGTAGAAAGAAACAGAGGGTTTTGGCATTTTTGGTAGCACAATTTGTCCATGTCTCCTATGCCACTTTTTTACATGTGAAAACACCTATCTAGATAATGACTAATGAGCCCAATCATACTACACTCATGTTGATCCATTACTGTTTGCAAGCCCACATTTATATATTTATTTATTTCAAGGAAAATAACTAAATATTCATTAAGAGCTACGGAGTAATAGATCCCTACTTTTTTTCTTTATAATAATGACATTATTTTGTAGATAATAATTACTAGAGGCCAATACTGGTTATTGCAAGGCACTTTCAACCTTTTTTTGGGTGCATATAGCATTCAATGTTTTCATCAGAATTTAGCTCAGGACTAGGCATACATACAAGAGACAATCATCTAATTTTACAGTTTCATTAACAATTCACTTACTAACTGTTGGATTCGAGGCGTTTCGAAGCAATCTCTACTAAGTTAGTCGAACAGTTGGCTTGGTAACTATAATGTTCTAAGTTTAATTCTCTGATCTATGGGGGGTCTATTGATCTTCTCGATTTGAGTCGGTTAACTATGAACAACCTAGGCTAATTTACCTCCTTGTAGTCCTTTAATTTATCGGCTAGGGTCAAACAATTGGTTTGGTAGCCCATAGCCGCAAAGTTCCAAATTCGACTCCCTATCGAAAATGTTTATTGACCTTCTCGGTTTGAGCCGGTCAACTTAGACAATTTATGCTAGTTACCACCTTGTGATTTTGTATCGCCTAGAGTCATTGAGCATGCTTCATCCATAGCACACTATTCAAATATTCTCGTAAATTTTCAAAAAAAAAAAAAAAAAAAAAAAAAAAAAGAGGAACTTTTAACTTTAAAATCAAGATATTTGTGATTTACAAAACTAGTGAAAAGGTGTACTATAATTATATTGTTGCATTGGTATATCCTCCAATCAAATAGCCTAAACAATAAGAATTGAGATACATGGTTAACATCACAAGTACTTTCATTCTCTCTATTTTTTCACCCACCAATTAAGTTAATGATCATGACATCATTTGTACCTAATGATTTATTAATGAATGAGAGGATTATCTTGTAAGGGAACACTGTCTGTTAGTGAGTGATGAGTCAATAAATGATATGATTAAGCCTTGAGGCTCTCAATCAATCATGCAATATGAAATCATTTCATGCATATATGTCCATATTAACCCAAAAAAAAAAAATGAGACTACATAATATCAGGGGATATATATATATATATATATATATATATATATATATATATATATATATATATATATATATATATATATATATATATATATATATATAGTATAATGCATAATTGGAGTGTTCGGTAAATAGATGATAGCTTATAATTGTTAGCTGATAGGGTTAGTGAGCTTAACTAGTTGATAGTATTAGCTAATTTTGAAAAGTGTTTGATAAATTAGATGTTAGCTAATAGCTGATTATATACAAAATGACTTTTTCAAAAATGCTGATCGATTGAATTTTAGCATTTTTTTAGCAATAAATTGTTACAAAAAGTTAATTAATTAAACACTCATATTGATTGTTTAACCAAGTCAAACAGCTAATAGTGGTCAAACAAGTCAAAATTAACTGATAAACTAATTATGTTACCAAACAGTGCCTATATATTTTCATCAAGACTATTTTGGTTTTAGTATAATAATAATTGTTAAACGCAAAAATACGGCAAATTATGTGTGAGCACGTGCCCACCTTTATCCATAATTTCTATACTATTAATTCATAATTTCTATACTATAGATCCATAATTTCTGTACTGTAGATTCATAAAATTTATACTTTAGATTCCAATTGTTGAACTCTGTGTAAGATATATTAATTATAACACTCTGTTTTCACAAATCGGAGAACAATATGTTCATAATTGATAACTATACAGTTTAGAAATTATGAATTTACAGTACATAAATTATGAATCTACAGTACAGATATTATGAATCTGCAATATAGAAATTATGAATATACTGTATAGAAATTATGAATATATTATATTTAAATTATGAATTTACGGTTTAAAAATTATGAATCTAAAGTATAAATTTTATGAATCTACAGTATAGAAATTATGGATCTACAATATAAAAATTATGAATCTACAATATAAAAATTATGAATATAGAACCGTGCCCACCTTGCAGGGCACGTGCTCACAGCATAACGATTCATTGGTCAATATATTGAATCAATTTTGTTATAGTGTCACTTCGTTAAAAAGTTTTAAAAAATTTAATCATTTGCAACAAACCCAATCAATCATATTGATACATAATATAAGGGGAGATGTATGGTGGAGTACTATGCACTATAATTATATTTTTCAATAAAACCATTCCGTAATACGGAGTATTATTATCATTATAAAACAAAATGTTCTTAATTACTAAGTCGATAGTCAATATAGTGAATCAATTGTCCCAAAAAATGTTGTCAATTGGGTGGAATATAATTTTCGTAATAGAAAATCATAATAAATTTGATTTTTGTTAACATTCTTTTGATCAAGCCCGTTGCATAAAATTTTCAAAATGTAATTTATCTCTTCTGATTTATATATTTTTTGGCTATTACACAAGAGTGAAGTTTATCTAATGTATATCCTCGAGTACGTAATAATTAGTGATTGTGGGTTTAATCATTTGCATTAAACTCAATCAGCCATGCATAATCAGAGTTTTTTGCACTTTTAGTCCCACGACTATAGTGGCACTGACAGAATTGATCCACGACTTTTGAACCTTGCAATTTTAGTCCACGACTATTGATTTTTTTTTTGCAAAAATGGTCATTCCGGCCACTTTTCCGTCAAAATTTCACCGGAAAAAAAAAAATTCTCTATTTTTAGTCGGGTTAAAATTGACATTTTACTTATCTCAAAAAATTAAAAGAAAAAAATTGATATTTGACTACATACAATATTACTGGGCTACATACTACTGCCCCAGGCAGCGGAGTACATGTACCACTCCAATGCTGCTGCCAGATAACCCAACTAGCCCGGGGAACGCCACGGCCGCTCCGCCGCTTACTGACAGCCCTGCCTGCTCCAGGAACTCCGCCGCCTGGGGCAGTAGTATGTAGCCCAGTAATATTGTATGTAGTCAAATATCAATTTTTTCTTTTAATTTTTTGAGATAAGTAAAATGTCAATTTTAACCCGGCTAAAAATGGAGAATTTTTTTTTTCCGGTGAAATTTTGACGGAAAAGTGGCCGGAAGGACCATTTTTGCAAAAAAATCAATAGTTGTGGACTAAAATTGCAATGTTCAAAAGTCGTGGATCAATTCTGCTAGTGCCACTATAGTCGTGGGACTAAAAGTGCAAAAAACTCTGCATAATCATATAATATTGTCGAATACATATATAGGGTGTTTGGTAAATAGTTGTTAGTGAGTTTGACTAGTTGATAACATTAGTTAATTGTAGAAAAGTGTTTGGTAAATTATTTGTTAGCTGATAGCTAATTACATGCAAAATGACTTTCTCAAAAAGCTGATCGAAAAAGTTGTTTTGAGTAATTTTTCAAATTTTAACATTCCGGAACAATAAATTATTACAAAAAACTAATTAATCAAATACTTACATTGATTGTTATCAAGTCAAACAGCGCAATTAACAGTGGTCAAATAAACTAAAATTAACTGATAAATTAATTATGTTACCAAATATGACCATAGTATTATGCGATATAATTTCCCGTTAAAACTACTCAGCAATATAATAATTATAAAATAAAAAAGTCCTAATTATCAAGTTATTAATCAATACATTGAATCAATTTCATTATCATGTCATCTCGTTAAAAAGTAGTAAACAATATAATCATTTGCGTCAAACCAATCAATCATACAAAAAGTATTTACACAAAATTGGCTTTGCTAAATTAAAGTTGATGGGAATTTGGAGAAGACTAAACGATGATAATTGATAATGGTGCCACGTAACACAATGGACAAAACTGTATGTACTGCTTAATGATAATCTTCATAAACGCTTCCCATAAATTGAGAAATTTTTTTTACCCTTTCTTTAGATAACAAGCGGATATGAAGAAAGAGAAGTAATGAGAGAGAGAAAAAAAGTTAGGTTATACAACTACAATGAGTTTTTTTTCTCAAATTTTAGAAATTGATTATTTTTTTTAATGACAGTACACATTGTGTACACTGGCGTTACTTTTTTTTTTTTTATTATTATTGTAAAATTAATTAATTTAGATTCAACCAGAATCACATTTATATTGTAATTATATTAACAATTTATTTACCAACTCGTTAAATTATTAGGTTATTGGGTACAAACTATAAGGTTATAAATGCATGTAATTTAACGACGTTGATTGGAGCATATATATTGCCTTCCTTCTCACTTCTTTTAAAAATTTGAGATTTTTGGACCACCTTTTAACATTATTTAATAATTAATACAATGCATGAGAGATTGAGAACATATGAGTTAAAAGTTGGGGAATTTAATGTGGTATATACGTAGCGACAATATAGATATTTCATATTGGTTTGGAACGATGGTAACTAATAATTAAAGTGTAATGTAATTTTTTTAGTATCATTTACTTTGTTACAATGTAATATATATTTGTATATATTTTCTCATTCTACTGAAGCACAAAGAATCAATATTTTTACTGAAGCTCAAATCCAGTTATGCCCTTTGTGAAAATTAATTGAATGTCAAAAAATCTTTGATCTGTATGAATAGCTCGGTTGGTTTTTAGATGGTAAATTTTGAGCAAGGATACATGATATAAGTTATGCAAATTATTCATTAAAAAAATAAATAACAATTCATGAACTTTGGAACGCATGAAATAAGAATTATATTAATAATATCTTTATAAAAAGGAAAAATGCAACAGCTAGGAATTGTTTTACAGACTAAAAGACCCAAAGAAAAAGGGGGAAGAAAAAAAAAAAAAAGAATGAGAATTTTATCTTTGCTGAGATGAAACTCTTCCATCTGTGATGCATTTGTACAGCTTCCACTTCCCCAAAGAAGACAAATTTACAACAGCGTTCTTGAAGAAAACAAGAAAGTGACAGAGGAACAATGGACTCATCAACGCCTTCTGGCCTCTCATCTACTCATTTATTGCCTGAGAATGGACAAACACAACAAGAATATGACAACTGTTCATGAAGAAGTAGAACCATTTCAATTTGCAGTGCAGTCTGCAGATAATAAAGGAGTTAATCATATATACCAATGGTCCTTTTGCAATGTAGCACAGCCTCGTAAATCGAGCTCTCAGAGTCGAAGGACCTGCGCCAGTTATCGACGCTGCTTGTTCTGGGGGATGTTGCGGACGAGAAATCCGCCCACTTCTTCATTTCCTGCATTCTTGAATTCGCGGTTCTGTGTCTAGGCCGGAACCTGCACCTCTGTAGTTTCTGGCATATGGGGCGAAGAAAGTCCAAGTATTTCTGGAAAAACTGCCTGGATAATCGTCGACAGCTTCTCAAGGACGGGCAGGGGATCCTCCCGGATGACTGCAGCATCTCGTTCTGGGCAACTGAAGTGGAAGGAGTCGTTGGCATGGAGTCAGAAGCATCATACGCCTCCATGCTCATCGGCTTGAAGAAGAGAGGCACGAGGAAGCCATTGGAAATGAGCTCGTCTGCATGCACAATCGCAAATGGAGAATCCGAAATAGGGAGATCAAAGTTAAAATCCTGGGGAACGCTGAAGAATCTCTTCGAAGGGGAGAGCTTCGGATCCATCTCGATGAAAGAAGAAGCCTCCTCATCAGAAAGAGAGGCCCTGAAGGAGCTCTCCAGGCTCTCAAAAGATGGCTTCAGGTTCACCAGCCAACTGTAGGAAAAGCTATCAATGGAGAGAGACTGAGAGGTCTCCATAGGAGGGAGAAGGCTACAAAAAGTGGGAAGGTTTACGCTACACACAGCATCAAAGCGCGGGGGTTCCTAAAGTAGTGAAATGGCCCTCCCACTAATCATGCACATACAAAACATATATATGCACATATATTCTTACTATCCTTTCCATAACAACAACATATGTGGTGGTCAGCTACAGACAAATGCAATTAATAATTGAAAACGAAAGAAAAGGAGTAAAGAAATAGAACGCAAACCCCACCTGACCTAAAGCATGTTCTCATTGCATCAAAAGCTTAGCCAAACTTTAGTATTTACAGCTAACCCTAAATTACTTTAATGGAGCCTTTAATACTTCCATAGAATCTAAGATACTATGCCTAACTATTATGCAGAACTATATAATCAAGCAAGAAAGATCACAGAATTCACTCATATGCTTTGACCGAAGTTTTAATTTTGGTTTGCTTGTTTCTTCCGCTATTTACTATAGATCTGCACACCCAGGAATCCAATCTCAGAATGTTTTATATTCTTAATAAAGGTTCGTTCACACAGCATAACCAAGGCCAGAATCATAATATTCATATTCTCTATAGTCTATACTATACCGCATTTTATACAGGAGGAACAATGCATTTACTCAATATTAACAATAATTGAAGATGCAACTAGTATCATGCAGCATAGTCGGTATCTATTGCAGGTCAAATGATGCTACAACTTATTAGTACCAACATGAAATTTCCACTCGGGAACTTCACCGACCAACACATACACACACACACACACACAGTGTGAAAAGGAATAACAAAGACACGCCAAGGGATTGGAATCTTATAGGGCCTCTTTTGCAGCTGGAAACATTCAGAGAAATTAGTAACATGTCTTTCATGTCGAGTGAATAACAGAATAAATGAAAGATGCATTAGATACCGTTAACACTGATCCAGATCATATTGATCTGTATAACATTTAGGTATGAGGATAAATGTGACACTAGAAGCACACGGTATTTTATGAATCTTATTGATGTTGCAAAACCAGAGAAGGTGTCTTTATTATCTTATCTAATACTCCTTAAATATCTCAGAATTCTTTTGGCTTCCTATCCACATTAATTGGCCACAAAAATGTGGATTCATAATGTAATGGAACATATGAATGAAAATATCATTGACCTAGAACCTCTTTCACGGATAAAACTCAAACAAAATTAAAGAAACACCAGAATTTTCTTGGCAAGGAAATTTTAGTATTTCACATCCACCAATGAGCTGAGTGGTGGCCATTCAACTCTTCAAAGTTTTTAATGCTATAAGAGTTATGTCTTTCTTCATAATAAAATTCTTGAAGAGAATATTTGTTAATAATACACAAAAACAAAATACCAGACAAAGGTCCCCACGGCTGTTGTAGAAAGAGGTGGACATAAAGGAAGCTCTGAGGAGGCAAAAGCCAGAACCAGAAATAGACTTGAAACCAAATGGTCCCCCCTGATGTCTGCTGAAAGAGTTTGGTAATTGTAAAGTATGCAAATTGAGATAATTGAGATGTAATGGAATGTTTTCAATTATGACCAAGTTGAAAGGAAAAAGCAGCTTCATCAACCAAAAAAACAAAAACAGCTAAAGCTCTTGAAGCAAGTAGATGACCTCTAAAAGAAGAAGAAGAAGAAGATGATGATGATGATGATGATGTAGGCTTATTCATAATCTTTCACTACAACAGAATTTTTATAAAAATGTTCGACTATGTGGTTCCAAGTTATAGTTTCATGTCAATGGACAGGACAGGGCCCAAAAAATAAACCAATAACCCCTGTCTTTTGATAAATGTCTTGAAGGAGCTGAGAAGAATTCAAACAGAATATAACAGCTAAGGCAAGCAAAGCATCCAGAAATCATCGCCAACATGAAAAAGTAGCAATTCAAAGATAGCAGAACGGATTTGAGCAAATGAAGCATGAATAAGCAAATTTATTTCATTAGATCTAGAAATACATAGGCATTCCAAAGGCCATGCAGCAGCATGGGTGCCAGCAAGTTCCTTGACCGTACAAATATAGTACCCAGTAGCACTCCAAGGAATACAAGTGGCAGCATCCTCTGCAAACTGAAATGTGCCAATGCAAAAGCAATTGAACTCAATAAAATTGAGCCCCATACAGGCATATACCTGGTTAACGAAGGTAAAAGAAATCCACGGAAGATAATTTCCTCCCAAATGGGTGCACAGATTGAAACCAGTATTGCATAAAGGGTCATTGCCACAGGATCCCTCACAACAATTGATTGCCCTACATTTGAAACTGTGACAGGTGTAGACGGAAGAAAGGGAAACAAATTTAAGTTCACCTGTGACAGTCGATTGATCAAAGGAAACATAACGCAGCACAAGCCAACATCAAAATGCCACTTCCCGCCTAAGCTAAATTTGAACCAATTGGATGGAAGTGGAAAAAACTTTGCAAGACGACGATGGAGGATTGCCATCCCTGCAATACCTCCAGCAGCATCAGTTAATAGACTGTACAAGGCTAAGCCTTGATACGTGAGAGACTCTTTTCTGAAACCTGCAGAATGTGCTAGGAATGGAATTATCCAAGACCCTACCAGCCAGAATGAAGCAATCCATAGAAGCATTACCTGCAGCGACAAATATCGTTAACCTTAAAAATAGGCACTTCTCAAATCTCAAATTGGTATATCGCAAATCCAATACTTGTACTTGGAGCAATTTTTTCATGCAGAAGGGCAACCCAAAGGACCACCTCTTTCAATGTTTCCAAAGACGAAAAGTAATTTTCCCATTATCACTAGTTACATTGGTGCAAAAACTTACAAAGAAAAATAGAGGGTATATAAGGGATGTAATTAAAATCTTTACCTGCACAATAGTCCTTACTGTCCATGGTACTGTCCAAGGTTCAATGTGAAGAACAGCATGAAAAGCCTGCAACATGATCGCACAAATCATCCTACCATCAAATTCCATTCAACAAGAGAAATGTGATAACCATCTTTTTGTGAATGCAGTAAAGAGGCAATGGACCAAATTCAATAAACTTTATTTATCCATTATTCACTAAACCTGATCAATTTGACAACAGTAATTAACAATCTTTGAAAACATATGGCATCACATCAGGCACTCCCTCAAAAGAGAAATAAACCATAAAGCATAGGGATTAAGAAGAAACTGTTTTTACTTCTTAAAGGAAGGAAATGAAGACAGTACCTTCTTAAGATGGAATACCAAGTCGCTCTTGGCATTATTGGGTTGATCGAATTCCGAGTTCACCACTTGTGGAATATCATCATCTACAGACTCGTAGTTGACAGATTCCAAAGAAGTGTGTTCACGTCTAGAGCATGATAACCGCCACCTCTACAGTAAAGCAACAGTTAAGATTAGTTTTTGGCTTTGTTGAACAAATACAGAGTACTGCAATTCAGATCAGCATAACCGAGGCTTAAGAACAGCTTAATGTTCACTTTGGTATCACAAAAATGCATAGAGAAACACATCTTAGCGCATCAATAATAAGCATAATTAAGCATCTATTTTATAGTAGTAAAATATTCTCAGAACCAAAAAAAAAAAAAAAAAAAAAAAAAAAGAGAGAGAGAGAGAGAGAGAGAGACTTACCGCGTTCTGTAACTGTAAGGAGGCAGTGACGATAGAGGTCCGAAGCTGCGGCAGAGATAATTTCGATAACGCGGGAGGGTTAAGGCGATATCTGGAGCTGGGAGGAGGGAGATTGGAGAAGTAAGAAGTTGACATGGAAGCACTAGAATAACACAATTTGGTATGAGATGCAATGCGCCGGACAATGGATACGGATTACAAGTACCGACGGAAGAGAAAACGGCTGCGGAGGGAACAATTCCGGGTAGCCGCCGAAGCTGATCACTTGCGAATTAAATACCGTTTGCGTTAAAGTTAGATTTCCGTAAATGGGCGGGTCAATGAAAAATAAACAGCTAATACTTGGGTCGGTAAGTATAGACCATTTAAAGCTATTAGCCGATTGAGTTAGTAAATTTGATTAATAATATTCATTGATTGTAAAAAAATATTTTGATAAATTACATATAAAATTACTTCAATCACTTATATTGAATATATTAACTAAGTCAAACAGTTAATAGTAATCAAACAAGCTAACTATGGTACCTGGCGTTTATCAATACTATGTGCATTTGGAAAAGTTCACTTTAATTACAATTTTCAGGAACATGAAGATTTGAACACGATAAACTTCCTTATAATAATTAATCTTCCTCATCCATATCAATCACCATCCTCAACTGTCGTCTTGATCCAGTATTCTTGTTAGATGATGGGAGTGGAGCATCCTCATCCTTCTCATAATCAGCCAATTCATCCAACTTCTCCTCCACTTCCAAACGCTGCCACTCTTTCTCACTGCTCAACTCCACATCACCTGATCGGTTTGGGGACTCCATCTCCGCGGTTTCTTCATCTTCTCCCCTACAATAAATAGGAAAAATAATATATATCATAATTTATTGATGATTAGGACGCACGCTGATATGATGCCAGTGGCAATTGGTAACTAACAGCGGAATAGTACCTGCTTGACATGTCAGTATGCTTCTCTGTAAAGTCTTCTTCGGTTGAATTGATCATCAGCTTCTCTTTGTTTTTCTTCATGGTTTTCCTGCTCCCAAAAACTTCAGTTAGACAACCAAAGAGACTTGCAAAAGATGATGTCATTGTTAACATTAACATAGCATGCATCCTTTCAATAGAGAGATGGGAAATGGAGCATACACTAAAACGTTACTTAGAAGTTCATCATCAGATTCTTCATCTTGGGATGATATCCTCGTGCTTTGCTCTTGTCTTTCTTCATCACCACTTCCCTTCACCTGCTTTTTACTCCTATATATTCAGCAGCACAACAATTAGATAAAATCTTTAAATACTTTTGGTTTAACACTCGCTTAAAAACAATAAAGCCTGCTGCCCAAGCAAGCAATATTCAACTAAATGACAATGTAGCTTTCAATTTTGAATACCAATCTTCATGGGCACAAATTAAAGAGAAATGGGATACCTTATCCTCATTGACAGTAACGTTTCATCATCGGAACTGTCACTTAAAGCTTCATTCCTCAGTTGCAAGTTGGAGGCAGACTTCTTCTTTTTGGGAAGATATAGGCCAAGTTGTTTGAGTTTGCGTGAAACCTTTGCAGCAGTGAAGGTTCCATCGGGATCCAAGGCATCAGCTATCATCTGGTTACACCTCTTCTGACCTTTAAACCTTCACATCAGATCAAAACTATATGAGCATCCAGCAGAGTTGTGGAATTACAATTCTCCTAACAAAATAATGGATTATTCTCTAATGTGTTTCAGCATTTTCAATAAGACTAGTAGCCATTGGCTGGGGAACTCACTGCTCAAACAAATCTTTGATTTTCTGCTCCTGCTCCTCACTAAATGCACGCACCCTCTTTCTAGTGTGCCTGAAGAAGAAAAACAATAAATTCAATCAAATACATGATACATACAGGTTTAACAAACAAGCTTACTGAAGACACTTACGTAGGCCTTCTTACTGAAGATTCCTTCTCCATGACACTCAAATTTGGATGTGCAATCGCATCAGACACTCTTGCTGCATCAGCACTAGTGTTTGCTGTTCTCCTCCTCCGTGGCATCTTAAGTCCAAGATGTTTAAGTGCTTTGGAAACCTGAAGTGGTGAAACTTTCCCATCTGGATCAAGGGCTTCAGCAATGAGACGATCACAATGTTGATCTTCTTTATATCTGGACATGCCAGCCAGTTCAAGAAATTCAGAAACTAGTCAAAGGCCATGAAGCCAAATGTACAGTTCACATTAGAGTTTTAGACAGTGTATAGTTCACATTAGAGTTTTAGACAGTGTTAAGTTACATTTGATTGGGAACTTTTACACCCTACTATGATTTTGATATACATTATTATGTGTGTTTGCCTACTTTTGTTATCCTACTATTGAATTCAAATCCTTTAATAATTACAGAACTCATTATCATTTTACTCCTTTAATTTTGAAAAATGGAATAAAAAATAAGGGAGAAAAAATTGGGAAAAAAAAAGTCATTAATCCATGTATTAAATATAAAATTTTAATATATATATATATATATATATATATATATATATATATATATATATATATACACACACACACACACATATATGTATGTGTATATATATGTATTATTATATATTTTTATATTTTTATTTTATTTATTTATTTTGATTCCAATTCTTATTTACTACCAAACAAAGTGTGACTCATCCTACTTAAACACATTATCATTACCAAGTATTGGATTCTCATTACTATTTTGATTCTAATGTTTGAACCAAACGCACCCTTAGTGTATTTCACATATACAGAAATGTTGTATACATATACACACACGGTGCAATTTAATAAAAATCAGACAAATAACCCAGTTAACATCTTAGTAAGCTTATTAAAAATCGTTGATGAAAATTAACAGAGAATATGTGCAATTCGTACAACTTACTTCTCATAAAGTTCCTTGACTTTTGCTTTCAGCTCATAGCCAAGAACTGATAGTTTTCTTCTTTTTGGTTCCCTCTCAGTCTCTTTTTCAACAAATTGTTCCTCTCTACATGACAAAAATAAATAAATAAATAAATAGTCTCCAGGACAAGGCAAAAGATGGAGGATATTAGCAGGACATTAATTGAAGACATACTTGTCAAAGTTTTCAGTTGCACAGAGTTCAACATCTGAGATGGATTGGGAGTTATGTTCCTCTTGACCAAGATTTTCATTGCTACATTCAACACCCCATGCCTTGTCTCTGAATATGGCAGAACATTAGAAATAAGTCATGTAAGAACAGAAATTATCATCCCAGTTGTATTATGAATAACAAACTTAGAACATTATGATCAGGAAATGTTCAAACTTCAGAACGATGCTCCAGCCTCTTAGATATACAACATTTACCAAACACAAAAAGAGAAGTGAGATTTGCAATAAGCAATTAAACATTTACCCGGTGGAATCCCTATTTGATAATACAAAGTCAGCTTCATCATCACCAAGAGCATCAGCTATACTTCTGTGAACCCATCCTTGCCTGTCAGATGCAGAACTCCAATTTTCGGTACTTTTCTTCAGACCAGAGAGCTCATTAAGCATAGATTCACAGTTGATATAACAGCATTCTTTGCGTGTTTTCCAAAAGAGAACCTCTATAAAAAGAAGGGGATAACTCTTCATTTTCCGCAACATTCTTCTGACCAAAGTTGTAAGGAAGAAGACAACATTCTCATACTCTTTGCAAGGCCTTAATTTCTGCTCCTCTAAAATATTATAGAATATTGTGAGGAGAGATAACTGCAATGTCAACCAGAAAGAACATGAGATACATTCATTGAGTTCTATTCTTTAAAAATGAAATAACAATCAAGGCATGAAATTGTACCTGATACAGCATAGGAGAAAGTTCCAGATCATCACAAATTCTCTGCAGCATACGTATTATATAATTATTTGTAATAACAGAATTGCTCTTATAGAACTTCAACAACCAACAGAGATTCTTCACAATATCATTGTTTGCAAAAGCAGAAACCAAAGCAGATACATTCAAATCCACTTCGTTTGTCGTCACATCCTCCTCACCAGAATAATCATTCATACCATTATTAAAATCATGGCAAGTCTCATCAGTTATTTTTTGTTCCATCTCTGGCACATGGCTTCCAGGGCTACTTAGCCTTGCTGAAGGTTCATCATTGACATGCACAGCATCAATATTCATTGGTTCCTCATTACTGAAACCATCAACATCATTCCTAATGGTATTAGAATTTCCAACCGTTTCATCATAGTCATCCATCTTTGTTTTCTTCTCACCCAATACCATAGATTCATCAAGCTGAGTTGGAATGGAATTGCCTTCTTGAATGGAAGGATCAAGATGTATTGTCCTTTCACAACCAGATCCTTCTTGATCATTTTGAATTGTAGTTGTATCTTGAAATGCTTTATCATCATTGTCTTTCTTGCCATCCATCATTGGTTTTTTCCTATGTTTCTTCCTCTGCTTCTTTGAAACCTTCATTACAAAAATATCTTACATTCTTACTTCTTGCATTTCCATGATTGAAACAAAAGGAACTCACATTGCAGACGTATGTGATGATTAACTAACATAGGAAAATGAAAAGTAAGGACACATTCTAGGAATTCCCTACCTGCTAAAGTATACCAGCACTCTGCATTTTATAATAGTTTGGCAACCACTGAAATAAATTAAAGATAAGAACCCGTAAACCCCCACACCCTCTTCCCCCAAAGTCAGTTTTTGATCAATGACCAATTTCTGACCAAGTAGGAAATTACAGCAACGCAAAGTTAGTGAGGGGGGATGATTTTACTCTAAAGAACTTGTATAACTAATAATTGAATTCCATCTACTCCATAATCAAGAGTGGGTGCATGATTGCAGTAAATTCCTAGTCTTGCAGAAGCATTCCTTAACTATATTACCAATGTAAATTTCATAGGTAAGGTAAAGGGCCTTTAAAATATTTACAATTGAAATTTGGAGCATACCCTTAACACACCACATGCTTGAAGCTTCTCCATGAGCTGCAGAAGAATACTCATAGTTTCCAACAAATCAGTAAGGTAACTGCCACGAAACAAGTTCAAAAATAAGCAAAGGAAATAAAGCATATACCAATATGAATTCTTTATCCCATATTCCCATTACCCCAGAAATGTTTGTAGAAAATGGAGTATATATAACATTGTTTTAAGCAAACATTTTTTCATGCTGTAATCTTTGTAGATACATCTTTCTACTATCTTTACACAAAGAAGCAGCCAAAATAGTGATTGGGAAGATACAAAAAGGAATTAATAGGCAGTAATTTCTCATGTTCTTTTAACCAAAAATAAATTAAAAATAAAAATAAAAAGGCAAACCTTTTCGCTTGCTTATGGGTATCAAATGATTTGATCTGGTTCAAGATAAACAAAGTCATTCCTTCATCAGTTTGGTCATAGAATAACTTGTAGAGAAGGATACGAGTGGTTTTGTTTTCCTTAGAATTTTCTGGAGACTGCTCAAGGACCAAATCCAACATAAGAAGCTGTTCAAATAAAAATTAGATCAGTAAGGGGATATTTAGAGCTGTGGTTCAAGAAATTATGCTGGTTAAACATGGCCAGAAACTGATATATATATATATATATATATATATATATATATATATATATGGAAATTTAATCCACAAGGAATATGTATAGCTATTTTATCAACATAGACTCTCAAAACGAATTCACCCATACAAGAGAACAACATACTGAAAGAAAATGCTCTCCTTTTTTTCATCATACTCTTAAACAAGTTATCAATCAAATAAATGAGTGTAATCACCATAATTCTCATAAAAGACCCCGCTGCAGAAAGGAATTTACGGTCATTTGTCTCCTTCAATGTATCAAATGCATAACGCCATTTCTGAGTAACCAGCTGGAACATTGACTCATTCAGTGATTCAGCAATTGGGCCACATATAGAGCCTCTAACCAATGTGCTATCAGTATGGCAATCTACTGATGATTCAGTATGAACTCCAATAATAGGCTGTTGAAGCACAGAAACACTACCATTAGACACAAGGTTAAAAACAAGATGAAACTAGCTGACCTGGGAAAAAAAGAAGAAATGAATTTTATACAGATTCAGCACCTTATTCAAGAACTTGTGGTACTGAAAAGAAACAACAAATTGGGCAACTTGAATGAATATAAGGACATCACTGTTCTGAACCGAGTGATGCTCTTTATCAATGTCTTCCCGCACTGACTCAATCAAAACTGAATTCAGAACAAGTTCATCAGCATCAAAGAGAGTAAAAAAAGATGGAAGAATAAAGAATGACATTAGTTAATCAAGAAGTCTACCATTGTATCCCCCTTCTAAGAACTGGTTCATGAAACCATAGAGTAACTCCAAAATCTTATTCTTGGTTGATGGTAGTCTACCATGGTCCCACACTGTTCTTTTGATTGGACCTCGGTGATTTTTATGAACCTTAAGCAGAGCATCATGAGAAACTGAAGGGTTCCCTTTCAATACTGTTTTTGAGCCATCCTGTCAATAGTTTGCTGTTGACATTAGTAAGAAACTAAGAATAAAGATATGATCATTTTGCATTTCAAGGAAACACTGCCATACCAGGGAAAACCGTGTGAATGTTCCACTGAACTGAGAATAGCAACCCAAATTTCGTTGTCGTATAATCTTTCTTTTCTCACGTTCCTCTTCCATTATTTCTTTAAGGCTGTTCAATGATGTTTCAGCATCTTCATCCACCTAATGAGAAAAACTCATTATAGATAAATTAAAATAAATAAATAACACCACAAACAAACAAACAAAAAAAAAAAACAAAAACAAACAAACAAGCACACACACACATCATTCAATGTCTAGAAATAACATCAGCAGTAGCACACCAGATTTGAATAATTATTAGCAAACATAAAACACAAAAAAGATGAGACAATCTATATGTGTAATTACAGAACGATGACTGCTTGCCTTCAATTAAGAAACAAGAAGTAAACTATTTGAGCCACATATCATGCTCAATCCTCCATAACTAATACTTTGTGCTAAAACTTGAAGCCTCTTTTTGAAGGAAAGCCAGTTGATTTGCATATTACTTAGGTTTTAGAAAAATGCATCTCAGTAAAATAAAATAGAAATTAGACAACTGGACTATCCATGTGAACTGCAAAGAATTTGATTGAAACTTCTTATGCATCTTGATGAAATTTGATTTGCAAAAATAAACAATTGCAAGCAAGTACTGGTGTAATAAACAATGAGAAATACTGTTGCTTAGAAATACTGTTATGATCAAAATGAAACCAACCTTCGAACACTTCATATAAGCTTTAGCAATAAACTCTGGTTCTTGGCCCATAAATATATAATAAAAAGTCTCCAGCAAGAGCAGGTTATCGTGTCGAAGATGTCTGCAAGAACCACCAACATGCTGTGACAAAACTAAGATCACATCCATTACATTTTCTTGAAACAGAAGTTCCAGAAACTTGTCTCTTAGGAACATGAATTGTGAGGTAGACCCCCCAGCTTTTTGATTTGGTGATATATCTTGAATTGCTAAAATGTTGCGAAACAATGTAATCACCAGCTGAACAAGTTTCCAGTCATCCTCAGTGAAGGATTCACTGATTAACAAGAAAAAGCATCAAAAGCAAATTGATAGTTAGCATAAATATGATGATCATAGAAAGTAAGAGGTGTATGGAGAACAAGCATCATATCTGATCATGCACTTAGGTCAGTACAATGAAAATGAAACAGTTCTTAATACTTAAAAGCATACAATAACTTAGGTCAGTACAATGTTTATTTCCATGACATCTAAAAATGAGAATATTCCACAGCTTTTAAACTGCAACAATCTGCATACATAAAAGGGAGAAAAATATGAACCATTGAAAAGTATATTGCTAATTACCATTCAAGATTTTCCAGAGGGCTTTCCAAGAGAGACATTATCACTGGCACAGCTTCACTAAAAGTAATGGAACGCTTTATCCCCCAAAGATACTCCATCTGCTGTGGTATGTCAGTTGATGAGGGCTCAACAGGCATTGTTAGAAATACCAAAATCTTTACTGCAATAGTAAGAGGGAAGAGATATACAATTAAAAAAAAAAAAACAAAAACAAAAACAAAAAAAAACAAAAACAAAAAAAAAAAAAAAAAAAAAAAAAAAAAAAAAAAAACAAAGCTATGTGGGTAGTCTAAGGTTTGAGCCTCGGTGTAGGCGTAGATTGTATATGTGGGTATCCCTTCCTTTGTAATAAAATAAAATAAAATAAAAAACAAAGCTATTGCTTAATAATTAATTTCACAAGCATCCTTTTGCATATCAGTCACGGAGTAAATTACCAGCATTTAAGATCAAATTACGATCATCTTGGCAATGCTCAATAATAGGGAGCAAATCTTTCCCCACAATATTCCATTTACAAACTTGCTTGAACACTTCTCTTGTCTGTGGGTCATCTCGCCTCAGAAACCTCAGCAAATCCTTCAAATTATCTGGGAAAAAAAAAAAAAACCAATAAAACAAATTGCATTAAGAACAATAACCAAATCACATAGCCATTCATTTTCAAAACGAACAAACTAAGCCTAATGCGCGGGGAATCAGTTGTTATAACAATAGATGAAACAAACTAAGTAAATCAGCTCAAGTATAACAGTACTACAGATTACAGAACAAACAAAGTTAGCATAACGACAATGAACTGAACCGTAAACTAAAAGCACTCGAACAGAAAATTAAACTCCAACAAATGAGAGAATCGCGAGTTCAGTTACCAGAGCAGTATTCTCCAACTTCATAGCCGATGCGGTTGTCATTCTCATCTTCTTCAATGGCTCCAAGGCCAGCGCAGATAGCGGATAACCCTTCCATTTCGATGTCAGACTTCGCCTTAGTATAGGCCTTAAAGTTGGTTCGAATTCGATGTCTTAGCGATCAAAAGTACTGGAATGTTTATGACTGAGGAGCTCCTGGCGGTAGTTTGTGAGATCAGATGAAGGTGACAATGGTGGATTGAACGATACAGGAATGCAGGATCCGGGTTCAACTCGCTAAATCACTCCCCGTAGTTTAGGGTTATTAAGGCGCCAAAATCTTTTTCCCGCGCTTGGGAATTCCCGGCGTTTTTTACTTTGTTTTCCTTGAAAATCCATTTACAAACTTTGTAAATCCTATATTTATCCCAATTAATTTTGTCTTTGTTTTACTTTTTCGTCAATTTTGAATTAAAATATTAAAATAATCAATTTGTGTAAATGTAGATTGATATCATAATACGGCAATCCGACCAAGTTAATCAGACAATTAATTCGATATTACAAAGTTAGTTTGAGTAATCTTCTTTGCAAGTTCAACTCGCTATGCGAATTGTCTCTTTTTTTTTAATATTATTGACTCTATTACAATGTATTATCGATTCTGTGTTTCTCTTAAGGGAAGGTCACAGAGGTCATATGAGCACAAGGTGCTTGACTCACTATGAGAATTGTCTATTGTCCTTCTTAGTTTAAACCAATCAACTATAGATAACCTAAGTTAGTTTATTTTTGTTTAGTCTTTTACTAGCGTGGTTGTAAGTTTTTCCGTAAATCAAAGATTGACATAATTACCATACAAACATGATAACAGGGCTCATTAAAATTATATATTTTTTGTTAAATCGCGGCACGCTCTAACTTTCCGTTCACATTGGAGATGGCCCAATTAAGGGACTAAATATTAATCATATTGATTTTTTCATTAGAGAATGGTTATAGTTTTAAACAAGAACTGGTTTGGTTTTTAAACTTTTTATGCCCGACACATATGAAGGGTCAAATCTCTTTAGTATTTTGTTTAATAATAGCGGAAGTATAGCTTTGTTTGTTTCTTGTGGTTATGACGCCATTTAAGGCTTTTAATATTAAATAGAGTTTTACAAATTTTATTCCCTAAATTTTATTTTTTGATGTAGCAAGCCGTAATAAATAACTTTTTTCATGTAGATTTCAATACAAGTGTTTACATTAAAATTTTGTGTGTAGAATAAAAGTTGAGACTTGAAAATAAAAAATGAGAATACACATAATATTTTTCTACTAAATATTAGGGAGTAGAAACCATTATTTGTATACAAGTTTGTTCATGATATGATAATACAATTAAGCTACTTAGCTACATTATAGCAGTACATAATGATTCATGAGAATTCACTACAATCATACATTTTAAACATGGGCAACATCACGAGTAAGTATGCCGCATCAACATTAACAGTATTCAACTTCTTTACCAAACTGTAAAAGTGTAAAGGATATGCTAACCATAAACTCACTACAACACTCTTTCACGCTGTGTTCACCAGAAATGGGGGTAGGAAAAAAAATACAACAAACTAAAACCAAGCTGCCTCGTAATTAGTAAGGAATTTATCTGATAATTGAAGGAAAATTCTACCAAGCAGGGAAGCATACATGGATGGTGGATCTTTCATGGTCTCTGTCTAAACCTTCCTAACCTGAATGTTGTGAGTGGATTGAAGCCGCCAGATAGGTTGTTGGCCACTCTGAACAAGTGCTACCTGTTCTCCTTCCTTCACCATTCCTTGCTTCTGTACATGACAATGATGCAAAGGAGACCGTGAAAATCAGGAAAGTCTCACAAGAAACAAGAATGTTCAGATTTGTTTTCAAAAAAAAAAAAAAAAAAGAATGTTCAGATTTTGTATAGCATAGATTACTGCTTATAAAAGGTCAAAGAAGAAATAGATAACTAGAAATCAAGATATAGCGATGATCTCACCTGCAGCACCGACAATGCATTTGTAAATGTCTCCTCAGCATCACTAGAGAACTCCATGTATATGGGGCATATGCCTTGGTACAAAGCTAATCTCTGTTGTATCTTCTTCCTGAAGTTGAATTGCAACTCAACAATTAATGGAACTTGCAAAACTTCTTCAGAATCACCTCACAACAAGTTTTATAAATTCAAATAATCACGTTTTAATCATGAGCATCTAGATAACAAACTGGGCATAGCACAGTACTACTTATCACAACTTGCCAACGTGCTTGATTAGATATAGTATCATTCCAGAACAGGTTTTAAGTGTCAATAACAAAGTCATTTTCAGTAATCCCTCGGCATCCAACTTCCATCTTAGATAACATTAATCAATGTTCTATAATGGATGAGAGACTCACTCATTTGTGAAGGCAAAAATAGTGCCAGAAGGTCGGTAATGGCTCAGTAGTATGCCCATGAAACCAGTTCTTGTGAAAACAACTATTGAAGTTCCAAGAGTGTTAGACATCATGGTTGCGTGGAAAGCAAACATTTCACTCATATGGTTCTGTAAAAAAAACAATGAAGGCAGTAAGTAATTTTGTAAGAAAAGAAGGGAGAGACTGCACATATAGTAACAGAAACAGTTCTAATAAAATAAGGATTAACAGTTAAACCTTGAAAGCTTGGCCTAGATTCTGTGGTGTTTCACCGCCAACAATTGTTGCTTCAGTCCTCAGAGAGACAGTGTGCATAACTTTAACAGCTTTTAGGGGAAACCTATTGCATAAACAAAAATTGTTTAGTACTAATAAATCCCCCCCTAGATGAGAAACTTTCATAAGTAACCAGTTCCCCTACTGCAATGTCCCTAACACCACCAATCATCATCTCCCCCATTTAGCAGGTGGACTAAGTTTTACATATATAGGTCCTAATTTCAAACAGGCATTAATTGCCATGCAAGAAAAATAAGTTCTGCACTATACTTAATAAGGTATTAACAGTTACACCTAGAAAATCCACTCACTTTCCATGAGCTGTTTCTCCAGAAAGCATGACAGCATCAGCACCCTCTCTAACTGCAATGGCAATATCTGATACCTCTGCTCGTGTTGGTGTGGGATGAACAATCATGCTCTCCAGCATATTAGTAGCAACAATGACCGCTTTCCCCATACTACGGCAAATACTGATTATTTCTTCCTGCATTCATAATTAATAGTTACTACATTAGAAAATGAACATGTACAATAAGTTGGCTACACACTATATTGCACTCAAAAAGTTTTCCAATCTTTAGAAACTGTCCAAGCAACAGCATATGCATTACCTGTAGTAGTGGGACCTCTTCAATTGGCAGCTCTGCACCAAGATCTCCCCTTGCAACCATAGCCTGAGCAAAACACACAAATCTGTAACATTCTAGCAAATTGATGATATCCACAATAGAGCAAATCAAAAGTATTTAAAATAAATAAATAAATAAATAAATAAAGAGGGAGGTGGGGGTAGTTAGTCTTCTTGATAGTTCAGAAGAACCATGGGATTGTCAAATTTTAAATGCCAAAAAAAAAAAAAAAAAAAAGTTATCCTAAGAAAGTGTAAAGATAACCTCAGACCAGAACAAAATTCATATAATGGGTACCAAGCTATTTTTTATCTTACACCATCTTGCTTAATAAGGAAACCAGTAAACCATCTGAATTTCTAAGGTATAGAGCAAGGACTCTTATGAACAACAAAAGTGTTGGCATTTACCCCATCAGAGGCACTTATTATTGAATGTAAATTGGGAATGGAATCTGCGCTCTCAATTTTGACAATAACATGAATATCTGCATCGCAGCCTGTCACAAGGAAGCAATTGCAAAGAGGTAAGAAAATATGAAGCATCTGGGAATTATTCATCCATTCAATTAGAAGGAAATGCATTATATAAGTTTACTTTTCAAATAATTCTTCAATTCATGGACCACTGCAGCATCTTTGACAAAAGAAACGGCATAGAAGTCAACTTCATTATCTACTCCAAACTTGATGTCATCCCAGTCCTTTTCTGTTGCATTGTAGTAGAAAGTTAAATAAATAGGTAAGATGAAATTTAGAGAGATGCAGGTAAAAGGATGTTCAGATGACATGTCTGACCAGTAATAGATGGAAGTGTGGCACTTTTTCCTCTGACATTAAGATGTCGCCTTGATTTAAGCTCTCCTCCATCAACAACTTCACACTTCACTGAATCTTCAGTCTTAGCTTTCACCGTTAAAGACATCATGCCACCTACAGCGTAAAATAGGTTGTAAATTTTATTCACTCCAAGGCAGAAACTTTGATGTGTCAAACTATCATTGAAAAAAGTAAGTGATTCAGAGAGATGCAAAATTCCTTTTTTTAGATTGTTGTGAAAATTTAATGAAGAGAATCAGTTCGGCATACCATCAACGAGAAGCATGTCCCCAACTTCAACATCATTTACAAAATCATCATAATTAACACTAACACAATCAGCTGTGCCCACCCCTCTCCGAATTGTGAAAGTGAATTCATCTCCGCTCTTTAATGTGATTGGTTGGGGCAAGTCACCGCTCCTAACCTCAGGACCCTGCCAGTTTAAAGCCATATAAAGTGAGAAATCTGACTGATAATCCAAAATATATCTGCAAGTTCAAGGCTCTTGTTGATGACATTAGAATCACCAAACCCAAAGCATATTTAATCTTGATAGGAGCCAGCATCATCTAAGATATTATAGAATTTTTTTATCTGCAACCTCAAGCAGGACAAGTGAAAAACAAACTAACCTTGGTGTCAAGCATGATGGCAATGACGTTGTCTTTGGATTGTGTGTTATATTCCTTAACCAAATCAATCACCTTCTGATGAGAAGCATGGTCTCCATGAGACATGTTGAGACGAGCAACATTCATTCCAGCTTCAGCCAACTTCCAGATCATTTCCTTTGTGTTGGTAGAGGGACCAATAGTGCAAACAATCTTAGTCTTACGCCTCACTATAGGTTTAGACCACATGCCCACTGATGTATCACCAAGTTGTTGAATTGCTTGTAGATACTGAACTTGCTCCTCACTCTGATTGAAATAACAGAAGCATGAGTAAGATAACAAATAGGCTGAGAATCTTGATAGCCTGAAAGCTTTCAAAAGGTTCGCATCTCAACTTCAAACTTTCAAAGCTTTAAATAAGACCACATTAATCATTAAAAAAAAAAAAGCGTTGTACAGGTTGCAGAGCATTTTGTTCTCATCATATCAGTAATAGAGTTTAACTCCTTTCTCACTTCTGGTGCTAATTACCAGTTTGAGTATTGTATAATTGCATAACAATCAACAAATACAAACACCTTTAGGTGTTTCTCTTTTCCTCATAACTGAACGAACTACAACGCGATTAAACTTCGGTGAGTATTAAGCAAACTAAGGAGAAAGAAGACTAGCAAGAATACTACTATAGAGAAGATTTCAAATGTATAGGTAGTAGAAATACGACCTTTGGAAAATCTTCAGGAGACACGGGAAGTATTTCGGTCTCAGTGCGTGCAGATCTCTGGGCGCGGATTGGCGCCGCATTTAGCCGAACAGCTTTGTAACTCTTGCTTCGCTCATTTCGAGCTAAGATTTTCGAGGCAAACCCAGATGGTTTGAGCTTCTCGACTTGGCTCTGCAAGGATCCGGAGCTAGGGCTCGGGAATGAGCTCTGAACACACCGAGTCGCCGCCACCACCTGAGCCATTCTTCGCCGGAGGTTATGGAAGGAGGTGAACTAGTGGAGAAAAGCGATCGGAGAAACAAGAGTATAAATTGGAGCGAATGTGAGAAGCCTTGAAGAAATCGCCGCTATGGTTAGCTGGAATGAGGCTTTGGCTTCGTTTACATCGACGACTAGACGAGGAAAAATGGAGGGTTGCTCAACTGTGTTCAAAAACAGTTGTATCTTTTTCTTCTTCTTTTTTTTTTTGAAAACCACTTTATTGTTATTTTAACTAGTATTTGTCCGGTGTGATTCACGGAAAATATGTTATAAAAATATACCCTATACTTTAAAACGATAGATTTTAATAAACTTTGATTGACTTTCACAGAGTTGTTTAAACTTTTTAGAACTTTATAAGACTCTATAAAAGTCTATATAAAAAACTTTCATAGACTTTTATCAATTTTTTATTTTAAAAAGTCTACAAAAATCATTGAAATTCTAAATTGAATACATCCTTACAAATTTTCAATGACTTTGATTCTTATCATTTATATATAATTTTCTTACAAAACATTTATAATATATCATAAAATTCTTCTTATTATATAGTTTTTTCACCCACATCAGCATTCTCAACATTATTATTTTTATCTATAGTATGCTGAGACTTATATGATAATTACTTATATATATTATTAATAAACATCAACAAAAAAAAACTATTTCATTAGAAATTCATAACAATATTGAACAATAAAATTTATAATAAAAGAATTGATCAAATAAAGTATTTAAAAATATAATTACAAGCTAGGCATCATGCAAAGAAATATTATTTGCAATAGCAATTGGAGACTGTGAACAACAATAATGTGCTACTGTTTGCAACCCCAAATTGTTGTTGCGAACAGTAGTTCTCTATTCGTAGTAACCTGTTGTTAAGAATATATATATATATATATATATATATATATATATATATATATATATATATATATATATATATATATATATATATATATATATATATATTTATTTATTTATTTATTTATTTATTTATTTATTTATTTATTTATTTATTTATTTATTTATTTATTTATATTTATATTACGAATATAAACATAAAAAGAATAAAAATCAAAATTTGAAGATGAAAATTTTACTTTGTTCATGTATTTAGAGAGAATTAGAGAAAGTTAGGGATAAAAAAATTCATAGAAAAAATAAAAAGCATTATAAACAAGCAATTATGAAGTAAAAATTATTTTATTTCGAATTTTTAGATGAAGATTGTAATGTGTAGGAGAGAGAAAAATTGGTAGAGTTTAGGTATGAGGGAAATATAGGATAATGAAGAAAAAAATAATTTTATTAAATTTAGATAGGTTTATAAAGTTTAGATAGTGAGAAAAAATAGTGTTTAAATAGAGAGAGAAAACATTCAAAGTTGTTAGAAAGAAAATTTACAAATCTGGGGGTTGATGGTTGAATTTCAACTATTTATATTTAAGAAGGAAAAGTCTACAAAAGTCTTAAAATTAAAAAGTCTACAAAAGTTCATAACTTTTTGAATACCACATGACTTTTAAAGATTCTTTAAAAGTTTTAATCGAATATCACACGACTTTTAAAGACTCTTTAAAATTCTTGATTGAATACCGCCTGACTTTTAAAGACTCTCTAAAAGTTTGAATTGAATACCTCCAAACTTTTAAAGTTCATAAAAGTCTTTAAAACTCTACGAAAGTCATGGTTGAATACACCCCCCTTAGTAAACTAAAATAGTAATTGAATTACAATTTTAGAGTCACCACGGATCAAAATTTTTAGACCTTTGAGATTTCTAACTCTAAATGTAGCAACATAGAATTGACATTTAAAGACCAAATCACAATCTTAGTTCAAACATTGATTTTTTCTTCCAAATACTATCGAATTAAGTGTGTAATCAATAAAAGATGAGAACTAATAATTCGAGAATATAATCTTAATGTTACTAAGCCACTTCACGTCAATTAAGTTGGAGAGTGTTGTTGGATAGTATCCGATGAATCCACGAATAACGCATCTTTGTCTCCATAGTCCTCAATATGCACATCAACAATCTTAAATATTAGGCTGCCTAGCTATGCCATATATTAATTTCAAACTTATGAACTTTGGGGTTGCATGCAATAAAAAGTATATTTTAAATATACTAAGGGTACGTTATATATGTATGTAAGGTACTTTCAATATAAAAATAATGTATTTTTAATATATTAAAAATGTATTTGATATTCATGATCCATACAATTATGTGGATCATCGTTCACACAATAATTTGTCAGTAAAAATTGAAATATAAATAAATATAATATATATATATATATATATATATATATATATATATATTAGAAACTGTCCGTGGAAATTATTATTATTATTATTATTATTGCAATTATTATTATTATTATTATTGTTATTATAATTAACAATATTATTATGGTCTTGTGAAAATTAAATGTTGATTATCAACAATTAATTTTCAAAATAACAATATTATTATGGTCTTGTGAAAATTAAATGTTAATTATCACCATTTAATTTTCACAAGACCATATAGCTTTATTCTATATAGGATTAATTCCACTTTGGTCTCATAATTATACTGTACTAGTGTTTACAAATTCACCACCTTAGACTAACATTATCCTTCTAATCTTTTCCACTTTTAAAAATTGGTCTCACTTTCAGATCATCTGACTACACCATCTCATTTACAAATCATCTATTATTCACACTATATCCCTACAAATATAATCAACTTTTAAAAGTGGCCCAATATATTAAAATAATATTATTAATTATATTAAAATATTAAAAAGAAAAAAAATAAAACAAAATAAAATAAAGAAAAATACAAAAGCTGCCTCAGGGTTTTCAAATTTGCAAATCCATTTCATTAAAAAAATTTAAAAAATAATGTGGCATTAGCCACATCAGCTTGCAAATAGGCACATTTACAGGAATAATTACAGCCTTAGACTTCAGCATCTTAATAATAATTTTTGGATGGGTTTTTGTCGAGTTTTTTTTTGGATGTGGCATGTGGGAGAGAGATATAAGGCCCCGTTTGGTTCACGAAAAATATTTGAGAGGAAATTGAATTTAAATTTCATGGAAAATAAATTATCGAGAATATTAATTACATTGTTTGGTTGGTAAAAATAAATTATTGAGAATATCGATTCCATTGTTTTGGTTGAGTTTTTGAATTGTAAGGAATAATGAGTATAAATACAATTATACCCCTACATAATAATAACAACAATAATAATAATGGTAATTAAGAAAAGTTGGTGAGGGCATAATTGTCCTATCTATTTTTCATTCAAAACATTTTCCATGAAAAACACAATACCAAGAGGGGGCCATGTAAAATGTTTTCCATTAATCAAACAAAAGAAAATATAGTTTTCCTCAAATTTAAGAAAAATATTTTTCATTCATGAATTATTATTACACACAAAATTTTAAATTTATAAATTATTGATGGACACCTTAGTCATTTGTTATTTATATCATTTTATATTAAATAATTAATTAATTGTCGAGGTTAACGGGTACTTCTTTTTTTTTTTTTTTTTTTTTTTTTTTTTTTTTTGCTATTTGAGTGCACCTAAAACTTTAAAATTGTTTTTGCCTTAAAAAAAAACTTTAAAATTGTGTTGGTTTTCAAAATTACTGGTTGAAATAAATATTACAAATTTAAGTATGTCCACACCCCCACATTAAATTGGACAATGATGCATGTTCAATGGGGGTATGTTTCCTTCATTGCTATATTATCAATCTTATTATTCCCCTTGATTGTTTGGTATTCTTAGTTTGAGCTTATTAGTTATGGGCAATTTAAATTAATGTATCTCATTATGGTCGTTTGTCATATATGATCACAAATGTAAGTTTCACATAAAATATACAATTTTTTTTAGTACAGTTAACTCGGTTACTTAATACTCAAATTCATAACTTTTTATATGAGAGAGCAACTTGATGTCACTATATCAAAAGGTCATTACACGTTTAGATAGCAATTGTGAATATTTGCATATAGTGCACCATTCTAACTCGATCGCTCAACACCAAGGTGATGCCACGACGCCTCTAAACATGGCCACACCCATGCCATAAGGCCACATAACCGTTTTGTTGCACAGGGTTCCTACGTGACAACCTTGGTATTGACCCACTACTGCTCCTTGCATTAATGCCATGTCGTATTTCAATTCCGTCTCACTTGGACTCAACAAGTATTTGCTTCCTTAGGCCCTCAACTCCACGAAAAAATGACAGATATGTATTGGAAGGGACATGTATTTTTTAAAATGTGCGTCCCCTTCTTCTTCTTTTTTTTTTTTTTTTTTTTTTTTTTTTTTGACAAAATGTGTAAAAAACTTTTTTCACTTGCGTATCATATTTCCAGTCAAACTTAAAATGTAAGTGAGATTTGTTTTTCTCGAATAACGCAAATCCCACTTACGTTTCTCGAGAAACGTAATTTTTTTTTTTTTTTTTTAAATTTGGTTTCTCCGGTGAAGGAGAAAGCAATCAAACTGGTCGCCTTCTCCTTCGCCGGGGAAACCAAAATTTGAAAAAAGAAAAAAAAAAAAACGAGAAACGCAAGTCTCACTTGCGTTTTAAGTTTGACTGGAAATATGATAAAACGCAATCCCGGGAGAGGTCTTTTACACATTTTTGTCAAAAACAAAAAGGACGCACATTTTGGGAAATGCATGCCCCCTCCTACACATTACTGTCATTTTTCCCAACTCCAAACCTTATTGAGTTGTATGTTCCATCATCTTAGTATCATTCCCTTTAATTTGATGTGGTAAATTCCACCAGATATATGTATTCATATGAGATTGAGTGGTGTATTTTGAAATGATAGCTCGGGTTATAAAGTTCGAAAGTCGGAGGTTCTCGAGGAGGGGACAGATGCCGGAAGGTTGGCATGTGTCATGTGTGACATGTGTCTTTCATGCACTTGGCGACCTCGTTGGCTTCTGGAGGAGCGTGCACTTGCAAGAAAATATCTGTCTAGCCGATTACTATTGGGCTCGGGTTGAGTACTACTGTAAACAAATCGGGACCGAGCACGAGAAGGTAAAGGCAGAGACTCATTAAGCTATAGAGACGTTCGTCCATCAAGTCGAGCCAAATCGAAAAGTGACTCATGCCTCGCGATGACTCGTAACCGACCAAATCATCGACTCATCAATGTAAAAGGGTACGTGACCCGAATATATTCCCTTGATCCTCAAAATTTTCGTATTGTCCCACTTTTAATTATATCCCTCCAAAATTTACAACCCAACCCCATAAACTCTCCACCCTTATTTTAATTTGGATCTTATCTCTCCAACATTTGCACTTCAATCCCTAAATTCTCTATCTTGTTCCACTTCGCATCCACAACTCTCTTTTATTCCTACTTAAGCTCCCTAAACCTTGTCTGCAAATTTACCCTATTTACATAATTAACTCTTGGACCTTCACTTTTCGACTCCAACCGACTTTGAATATAGGTCCAATTTCTCCATCATCATTCTGTTTTCTGCCTACTAAATCCAACAATTTGGAACATTTATCAAGCAAGTTATTAATTCAAGATCTTGCAGAACAATAAATAATTACCGCGTAGAGAAAGGCTTTGGCGGGAAATAGGAACAGTGTAGAAAAATAACGTTCGGACCACGTGAGGGCGAATGAAAGCACGTGACGGTGTAGCGTGGCAAAACGACGCCGTAGGAACCCTATCTTCATTTCCATGTCTTATTCTTCAAGAACGTGGGGGGACTCGGCGACAGTTACAGAGCAGACGACTAAGCCAAGCCCGGGAAGGAGTCACGGCAGAGAAGAAATAAACGGGGAAGAAGATGGCCGCCATTAACAGACCTCCAAGTTTCATCGCCAACGACAACGCATTATCTGTAATTGCTTCATCGTCATCTTCTTCGTTGCCAAGGTTTTCTACTGTTTCCCCTTTAATTTTCGCCAAATTCCCGCCACGTCCCCGCCCTCTTACCTCATCTTCCCTGCCGAGAAGACCCCTGCTCTGTTCCAAGCCTTCTGGAGAAGCGGAGCTCTCCGGCACGGGGGACGAGTGGCTGGAGAGGCTGCCGGACAAGAAGAAGCCGCTGTACGCTCACAGCTTGCCCTGCATTGAGGCCTGGCTAAGGAGTCTAGGGTTTTACCAGAGCAAAGACGATAGGGCACTTTGGTTCGTGGAAAACCCTGATTGGCATGCTCAGCTATCTCTCGATGTCACTGATCTATACATAAGGTTAGTGTATATATAAATACAGCCTGGGGTTTCTTTCCTATTAAAGCTCAGATACTTGTAATCTTGAAGTTATCAACAACCTGACCAAATGGGTTGCCCAAATTTGATGGAATGTGTATTTAGGTTGAAAATCTTGATTGAGAATTGAGATGCTCAATTAACTGTTGGGTTTCAGAATTGCAGTTTCTGTTTTTGACTAAAAATGGTGTTTTAAAATGTGTGTATTTGCTGCTGCACTGAGAATTTGAGTGGAATGATTAAAAGTTGCAGTTGAATGTATTGATTCAGTTTGAGCTGAGGGACTTGAAATGGGTGTTTCTATGGTTATGACATCATTAGTAAATACAGTGCTAGGCCACAACTAGGATGTTGTTTGTGAAATTAATTACACTAAGATATAAGGGGAATGATCGATTGGAGTTTTAATGTCTTTAATTGGCTGGAAGCATATAGTTTAGTGTTAAAAGGAAAGTTCAAAGTTTTAATTGGCGATTAGCTGATTACATGCTAGATGATTGAGAGTTGAGTTGGGGTGCATCGTGCTCTCGAGGTTCCCTCTAGATCCTATAAGAAGAGCATTGAGTATGTATGTGAGGAATCGGATATTGTGTGCAGTGTTTAAGAGAATACTTTTCTTGCTGAAAGAATCATAACCATCTGGCAAAACCTTGAGTGATGAGAGTAATCCTTTTTTCCGTTTTTGCATAGTGCAAGTGTTTATTTGAATCCTGCAGGATAAGTAATACCAGTTTTCACTTTGTTTCATCTAGACTCTCATTGTTTCGTGTTCTTTTTAAAGCAAACTTTGGTCTACATTAGCATCTCGGTTGACTTGAACTTGATTTCTGAACTGCAGGTACCTTAAGAGCGGACCTGCAATACTCGAGAAAGATGTGGAGAGAAGATTCAGTTACGCGCTCAGCAGAGAAGATATCGAAAATGCCATACTCGGAGGTCCATAAGAACAGCTTGAAGCCAATCTGAAATATACTGTCATTCCAAGGATTATTAATCCCAGGCACAGCCTCACTTAACTGCACATTACTCATTACAGAAGCCTATTCAGAGACTGGTATGAGTGATATCACACCCAAAACACATGCATATACTTTGGCAGAGAAGTTTGGGCTATTATGATTTGTGTAGAGATGAACATTGGTTTAGGTTTTAGTAATGCAATAAGATGTATGATGTGACAATAATGATATGATAGTCTATGAAGTAATTTTTTTTTAAAGAAAAATACGAACTATATTAAGATATCCAAAGATAAAACATTACAAATGATAGGAGAGGGCTTGTAAACCACTCCGACTCTCCAAGCAATAAAGAAACAGACAGATAGCCTAACAAAACTTTTTGTTTTGCTGGTGGACAATAACTAAATACTTGTCCATCAGAGCATACCTTCATGTAGGTGTTGCGGGCTTACTTAACATTTTAAAATACTAGGTTTACTAAATTTATATGGTATTATACTATGATAATTAAAAGACAGGAGTAAAATCATGTGTCTTCTTGTCGCAAAGCTTCCTCAGCTCTTCAACAACTGTGATGATTTCTTTGTCACCTTTCTCCGCCAGCATCTCACGCATGGCCGCCGCGGTGGACCTCACGCGTTCGCCGCCTTCCTCCGTCACAATGGTGTTGATCACGGCGGTTATTTTCTCGCGGCGAAGTTTTCCTTCTCCGTCCCTGGAGACCTCCACCGCGACGCCGACCTCCTCCGCCAGCCTAGCGTTCACCGGCTGGTCGATGTGCATGGGGACGGCGATGATCGGAACGCCGTATTTCATGGCCTCCATGACGGAGCTCCACCCGCAGTGGCTGACGAAGCCGCCGATGCTAGGATGTTGCAGGATTTTCGCCTGTGGGGCCCAGCCCTTGACCACCAAACCTCTCTCCCCTACCCTGCCGGAAAATCGTTCCGGCAAGACGTCGGTGATTTCGCGGTCTTGTCCCTTGGGGAACCTTAAAACCCACACGAAGTTAACGTTGCTACTCTCCAGTCCGTGAGCGATCTCACACGTGTCTTCTTCCGACAAGAAGTATTCGCTCCCGAAGGAGACAAACACCGTAGATTTCTCTTCTTTCCCGTTCAGCCACCGGATAACCTCGGAGTTCTCGTCTTCCGTACAAGGCTCCTGGATCAAAGGTCCGACCGGGACGACATTTTTCCCGGTCAACTTCGTGATGTAACTACTGTACTTCCCTTCAATCTCCTCGAAACTCTTGATCAGAACGAGACCGCAGGAGCGTGCAAAGCAATCGCGGACGCGATTCTTGTCCTTTTGTTCTCTCTCGGGCGGGGTTTCCGCCGCCATTCTCGCGAACCGTTTCAGTTCATAGTCACGGAAACGGACATTCGAGAAGGGAAAGTCGACGCCGGGCTGTTTGAACCGGTGGACCATGTACGCCGTCATGGTGGAGCTGCTGCTGATAAACTCCACGGCGGGGATGTTCAGATCCGCGGCGGCGAGTGGCGCCCAGGGCTGGAGAAAATCATAGATAAGCAAATCGGGGCGGAGATCTTCGAGAAGCTTGACGAAGCTCGGGCAGGCTTCGTCGAAGGCCTCCTTGAGAGCCGGCATGAGGTGCGGCGGGAGGCCATTGGTGGTGTGGAGATCGGACGGGAGGTCGTCGGAAGATGGGAGATGGAGTTCCGTGAACTCCACGGAACCGGAGAACTCATCTCCGAGCTTTTTTCTGATGGGGTTTAGGGTTGCAGGCGTGGAACAGATGAAAATGGTGAAGTTTCTTAGGCTGAGCTTCTTGGCCAGCTCCAAGAAAGGGGAGATATGGCCGTAGCCTAGCCATGGAAACATCACGACACGGAGGTTCTTCTGGTTTTGATCGGCGGCGTTCATGGTTTCTCTCTTCTTCTTTCAAAGGAAATAAAGTTTTCTGGTTTCAATTGGTAGGGTATTGGAGAGAGGTCTAGGGTTACGTTTATATTGTGAGAGCAGCCATGCATGCATGCTAATTACATGGTAAGCTTTCACTAAAATGGAAGGAAATTAAAAAAAAAATTGGGAAGATTTTCAAATTTCTCTAAGTCATAAAAATATTATCTTTGTTTCCTTTACTAGTTTTACTTATTACTTCTTCTTAGATCTTGTGCGAGATATTTGCATGCATGGCTATATGGTATAAATACATTTTTTGAAAGTGACTAATTGCAGGTTTTTTTTTTATTTTTTATTTTTTTATTTTTTTATTTTTTTATTATTTACTTATTAACTGTCTTGTTGCTACTCGATCTCATTGTTGAAAAAAATAGGGTAGTTATTCCATTTTCGGTTTAATTTTTTTGTGTGATTTGTGGTTTATTACAAAAAAACGGATTTATTCAATA